TGTGTGTGTGTGGTGTGTGTGTGTGTGTGTGTGTGCGTGTGTGTGATATATCTGGCTCTGTGTGTGTGTGTGTGTGTGTGTGTGTGTGCGCGCGCGCGCGCACGCGTGCGCGTGTTCATACACATGTACTAGGGGATCGAACTCGGCCTCCCATAATCCAAGCGTTTACTCAGCTACTTCTTCAGAGCTCAGCACAGTGTCATGGTTCAGTCCCCCACTGCTCTCCTTGTTGTCACAAAAATCTAGTTTTCCCTCCCAGGATCCCTCCCTACCCCACCCTCACCTTTTTTTTCTCCTTGATGTACCAGTAGGGGGACCAGGCATGTTATGTGGGTAGAGCCCTACTCCCTGCGCAGGCCATTACAGCTAAATCAAGGAGTACACATTTTTAGACCCTTCCCTGTGAGACTCAATACGCAAAGGCATACATACTATCCATACCCCATATAGAGACAGAATTTTGGTCCACAGCCCACATCAGTTCAAGCCCAATAAACTAACCTGCTAACTCCAGTAAGCATTCCAAAACCACATGTGGCAGTGAGTTCAGGGAGCCTGTGGTCATTGGCCCTACACTGCCAAAACTTGATTAGTAACCCATACCTGCCTAGAATCTGTCCCATCCACTGGAGAAAGACAAATATGTACCTCTAAACAATCACATGAGATATCTTTAATCTAGTTACTCTGCCTGCTACCTTCCCCTATGCCATCAGATTTTTTTTTTTAAAAAAAAAAGCCTTCCTTTTTTATCTCCAATTTAAAATCTTCTCACTTTATGACATTGGCCAAATGTACTAGCTTCAGAGTCCTCTTTCATCTGTCCAGATATCCCTGGCTTGTACTTGTGTAGGTTATCTTCATTTATTTCCACAAGGGCAAAATAGAGCTGTGTGTGTGTAAACAGCACACTGAACTGTTTTTTCAAGTCAGAAATGCTAAGCGTTTAGGGGCCTGTGAGATGCATAAGGAAAGAGTATTGGGGGGGTTGTGCAATGTGGCTTGTGGTTAAGAACATGAACCTTGGATACAGACTGCCTCAGTTCAAGTCCTGGCTCTGTCACTTCCGAATGTATGGACATGGGCAAGTGACCTCACAATTTGAAACCCAGTGTCCTTTCCTGTAGACACACTTTCAGGGTCTACAGCACCTGACCCACAATGGAGGTTATGGGACATGACTACCTGGAGTTTAATGCTGTAGAGAAAGATAGAGAGAAGAAGAGAGAAAAGGAGCCGGACTTCCTGAAAAGCGGCAGGGACCAGGTCTTGAGTGCAGACTGCTCCCTTTAAATGGGACACACGTCTTCCATTCTCATAGCCTCCACCAACTGGCTTCATTCATCTGACATGATCTGAGTACATGTGCACTCGTGCATGGGAGCAAAAATATTTTGCTTTCAAAAATGCAGTCATCCTCAGAAATCTATAGGCACAAATACCACCCATGTCATGATCTAGCTCAAATATGGAAATAATCTGATAAGGGAGGAATCTTATCTCTCAAAGGCAGGCTGGAAATTGTTTTGTTTTCCAGAAGTCAGAGTCAAGCATCCTCTACTGAGATGTTTGCTGAAGGGTCATATTTTAAATTATAGTTTAAAATCACTGAAAAAATTGTTTAGATGCTGGACATGGAACCAAGGCCTTCCCCGTACTATGCAAGCATTCTACTTCTGAACAACTATCCTTACTTAGCTCACTCCCAAAACAAGTCTGCAAAATGTTAGAGTTTCAGTACAAGCATATTGTTTACCAACCACAAAGAAGTGTTTTGCTCATTGGGCTGCTATTCTTAGGAACAAACATCACCATTTCAGATAAAGCTGTTTAAAAATACTCATGTTTTTTTTTTCCAATTAACATTAACTGGGGAGCCTGAGGTATTTAACCTAACCCCAAAGAGAACACTTGCCCTTAACAAAGCAGACTTTTTCATTATACTACCACTCCCAACACACAGTTGCTCAATTTACCAAATCAGCATAAAATGGATTTTTGAAGATAACACTGTAGACTAGTATAAAGAGGCATTCTTTATCATTTCATTATACCAGATTTAGTAAATAAGAAAACTGGGAGTTGCAATCACTGCAAACAATAGTTTCCCTTGTAGATTATTGAAGACTCATGGAAAACACCAAAGTGGGCTATGCAAGTCCATCCCAGGATCCCATGGTGGAAGGAGAGAACTGACCCCAAAAGTTGTCCTCTGGCTGCCACAGGAGTATGTGCACAAATGAGTACTCTCTCTCTCTGTCTCTGTCTCTGTCTCTGTCTCTGTCTCTCTCTCTCTGTCTCTGTCTCTCTCTCTCTCTCTCTCACACACACACACAGAGAGAGAGAGAGAGAGAGAGAGAGAGAGAGAGAGAGAGAGAGAGAGAAGAGAGAGAGAGAATGCCAAAGGGGGCTGGAGAGATGGCTCAGCAGTTAAGAGCACTGGCTGCTCTTCCAGAAGACCCAGGTTCAACCCGCATAGCAGCTTACACCTGTCTGTAACTTCAGTTCCAGAGGATCCAACACCCTCACTCACACAGATAGATACACATGCAGTCAAAACATCAATGAACTAAAAGAAAAATAAATTTAAAAAAGAAAACACCAAAAATAGATATCTTAAAGTTCAAAAAGTACAAATAGTTTGATTTTTGTCTGTTTTTGAGACGGAGTCCCAAGCCAGTCAGGAACTCTCTACATAGGAAGAGGATAGCCTTGGACACCCGACCCTCGTACTTCACCTCCCCATGGTTTGCACCACCACGGTCTGTTTTATTCCATTCTAGGGAATCGAACCTGCAACTTCATACATGCATAGATAATCATTCTAGCAACTGAATCACATCTCTAATTCTCTAAATAATGTTGAATATTAAAATAATCTAGTCAATTTTTGTAGAGCCAGGAGACATCACTTACATATGATAACTTTTGCATATTTATGCTCACATTGTAAAGCAAGTGCAACAGGAATATCTGTCAAACTCGAGATGCCTTTTCCATACCCAGCTTCCCCAAGCCTCCAACTTGATACAGCAGTGCCCAAAGTGTCAGAGAGGGAAGGGGAGTGAGTGGCGGTCTCTGGGTTAGTTGAGTCTCTTGCGGGGAGGACAGGGACAGACGGACAGGTCTGGGTCGCACTCACCCAGGCCGCGCCAGCCCAGTGGACCGTCACAGCTGTCCAGGATCGCGCACAGCTCGCCCAGCAGCACCGGCGGCAGGTCGAACAGCAGCGTGTGCGCCGACAGCGCGCCACGGCTCGGGCACTGGCCGGCCATCGCCCAGCCCGAGACCCCACGCAGCGCAGCAGGGATGTCACCGCTGCGACACCTCCTTACACAACCGCGGAAATCCAGCTCCACGAAGGCTGCCGGGACCTTGTAACACGCCGTGACCCGGCCCTCGCAGGGCGGGTCCCACGTGACGCAGGATGCCGCTCCCCAGGGATGCCCCTGCAAAGACCTGGACCTCCCCTGCTCCCTACCCCCACCCCCGACCCTGCGCCCCGCCCCCTATCCTCGTGTTTTGCTCGGTTTCTGTCAGCCCTTGCGATGTGACCCCGACCGAGGAAACCAGCCAAGAAAGTGAGGGCGGGAGACAGCGGCAGGAATCCGGGAAAGCCACCACCCCTCTGCTGCCCTGGCACGGGCGGCCTCCTGGCCAGGATGGACGTGGAGATCTTCGTTACTTCTTTTAAAGTTTCTCTTTGTCCTGTCCAGAAAGAAATAGTACTCACTGAGGAACACGTTTTCCTCTCCCCCTTTTTAGCCAAATGAATTTAAACGGAAGAAAACGTGGATACACTCGGGGGTGTGGAGGGAAAGAATGTATAGGGAAATCAGACACACACACACAAAAACAAACAAACAAACAAACAAACAAACAAAAACAGGCTAACCCAGGACAAAACTGTTCATCTTTGCGGCCGAAGGCAGCCCCTGCCACAGTGCCACTTGGTTTGACTTCATTGTCCTTTTCCTTCCTGAGAGTGCTTCATAGATTGCAAAATGGAGTTTAAGCAACCTCGGCCGTTGTTTTGAAATATTCTACCGTTTACACTGTAATGGCCCACCGCAGGGACGGTACGGATGCTACTGACAGAAGAGGTCTTCAAAGCGGGTGGGAAAATGTCAGCTCTGAAGCAGGAGATGGGACAGTGGCATCCACTGAAAAGTTGTTGCAAACCTCTCAGATCTTACTCTTTGGGAACAGCTCCCCCTGGGGTTCAGCAGAGATGGTGCAGGGGCATGAACACCGCTGCGTGAATTCCCAAAGAATAGTAGTATTCCGTGAAAACTGGTAAAAGTAGAACGGTTTGAGAGAAATTTCTGAAGTCTCTTCATTCTAATGACTATGGCTTTATCAAAATACAAACTTAAAAGGGTCTCTATGTCACTATACTGAGCAACAGAGAGAAGAGAAGAAGGAGCACTGTACTGGGTACCCTTTTGGCTTTCTAGGATAGAGAAAGCAATCTGAGACAAGCGCACCTGGACATGAAATTACCATGTGTACTTGTGGTAAATTTCTGACAAAATGCCCAACAGAGCGGCTTAAAAGGAAGGGGAGGGCTTGGTTGGCTCAGTGCTTCCGTCTGTGGTTGTTTGACCCCAGTGTCTTTCCGGTCCTGTGAGAAGTCAAAGCACCATGGTGGGAGTATGTGCTACAGAAGGTTGCTAACTTAATGACAGCTGGGAAGCAGGGAGGGGGAAGGGGAAGGAGGAGGGGAGGGGGATAGGGAAGGTATAGGGAAAGAGAGAAAGAGTGTAAGAGAGAGTGTGTAAGGGGCTAGGGTGCCAAAATTCCCTTCAAGAGACCCGATTTCTTAGGTGGGTAACCAAACTTTTAGTATAAGGGCCTAAAGAGGACGTTTAAAATCTTCCCCATGACAATAGCAGGAGAACTCAAAAATACTTGCATCATCAGATCTTCTAATTTACCACAAGGCAAGGAGAAAGAAATTAGGGAACACATGATATCCCCTTCACAGTCACGCCTCCAGTGAACAATCCATCCATGAAGTTAAATGAGCTAGTTACCTCTCAACTCTGCCACCATCTGGGAACGCATGAACTTTTAGTGGTGCTTCCTGTCCAAGACATAATACACACTTCACCCATCTCTAGGGGTGAACCGTCTCCAACCCTGCCTGAATCTCATCGTTTATGGACACCATGAATCCTAACCCTTTCCCTGTAACTGAAAGAAGTGGGGGTAGCTGTTGTCATTTATCTCTGCGATTTTAGCTATTTGTCATTCTACTGGCTCATCTCCACCAAAATATGAACACGATACTATTTCTTTCACCTTCAAAACAAAATGTCTTTGATCTTTCGTTGGTTGCTTCCTGGCGGAGTTGAAAATTCTCAACACCTCCAGCCTTTCTCTTACCCTACCCTCAGCAGAGTCATTTTACCCTACTCAAAGAGAGTTCTTTTCAGTGCCACCCATGTCCACAACATTGGTGCTACCATTCTCTGGACAGTTTCCATCCTTATCCTACCTGTTGGTGTCAATAGAAAAACAAAGACTGAAGAAGGATGCTGTAATGAGCTGATAGAATTTAATTCTACAAAAGAGAACAGGCTGTAATAAGAAGAGCTCAGCTTTGTTGCTTGCCTCCTGCCTTGCGCTATGATCCCTTCCATGCAAGCTGCTTGATGCTCACACTGGGATGCTATTAGTCATGTTACAACACAACCAGTAGGCTCTTTCCGAGGCTGGTAGGATGTGGCTACCTGATATTAGATCTCCAGATTCCAAAACTGTGAGCTAGAAAAACCTCTGTAGTTACAGAGTGGCCCAGTTGGAAACACAAAGAAAACAAAGACATTCATTATGCTTGGGTGACATAGGACCCCCTCTGTCTTTACTTTGTTTCCTGTTCCTATGATAACATACCCGGAAAAGGGGAAACTTAGGGTAGAAAAGGTTTAGCCCACAATTCCAGGTCACAGTCCATCTTTTCAAGACAGTAAAGGTGGCAGGAACTTGAATCAGCTAGCTACATTACATTCCGAGTAATGTGTGGAGAATAGAGCAGCAGAAATGGTTCAGCAGTTAAGAGGACTGAGTGCTCTTCCAGGGGACCCAGGTTTGATTCCCAGCAATCACATGACAGCTCACAACCATCCATAACTCCACTGCCAAGAGATCTGAAGACCTCTTTTGGCATCTACAGGCACTAGGCCTGCACATAGCACACAGACATATAGGTAGGTAAGACACTTATATATGTAAAATTATTTTTAAAAAGAAAGCGTAGAGAGCAAAGAATTAACACATGAGCATCAGTGTTCATCTGGCTTTCTCGGTTCATACAGTTCAGGATTCTGTTCCCAGGTGGTGGTATTAACTTAGTGGTTAATTAGCCCTGGCACTCTCCAAATCTCCTGATTCATTAGAATGATTCACAAGTCTCAGGAGAGGTTCGTGCAGTCATTCTTCAATATTTTTGCCAGGTATTAGTTCCAAGATTCAGTTACTGAGCAAGTGACTGGACTAAATAATTGCAGGAGGGTGTGGCTGATAGTTGCAGCATGTTAGTCATGTTGTTAGTCATTCAGGCAAGACTATCGTGTTTCTTCAAAGTGCCTATGGACTCACCGCAGATCACCTCTGGAATCGGATTCAAATGTGATAGAACGTTCATTATAAACAACAAAAAACAACCCTGTCCTTCCAAACATTCCAGGAGAGGGGGAAATGCATTGTTTATTATATCATACACTCACAACCACACGAGGACACAGCATCAATGCTACCTGTTTTTTATAGACAAGAATTGAAGCCTACTGACCCACAAACTATGGGGCTTTTCCTGCTCAGTTTTCTCCCAATTCTTCTCTCCAAACCTATCCATGTCAAAGTCACTGGGAGCTCTCCATTACAGAGTGGAGTCTCACTGCAAAGTTCTTAGGAGTCTATTTTACAACGGCTGTGTTCATTCTTTCATCTCTTTCACACACCCCTTTCCCTCCCTCCCTCTGATGATCTCCCTTGACACTTAACAATGTCAGTCCCTTAGTTTTAACCACGTGATGAGTGCTTAGAGATATTTCCTTCTGATATTTAGCTACACTTTTTCTGACCACTGAAAGTAGGCATCTTTCCATGTGTTTATTTGGATTCATGCTATGCTCATGTGTTACCAGATCCAGTCTCTTGCCCACTTTTCCTATTCGCTGCTTGCTTTACGGGATGAGTCTGGATTTTCAATCACTGATTGTGTGGTATGAAATGAAAGCTTTAAAATATTTCCTATTCTGTGGTTTGTTCTTTACTCATTAATGATAAAACTTAGCTACTACATACTCTTTTTTTTTCCTACTAGGTGCTCTTAATGTTTATATAGTTTGCAAGTCTTCTTAGATTGACTAATGTTTTATCAGTTTTCAGAAATCTTTCTTTTTCTTCAAATTATAAAGACATTATTTTCATGACTTTTACTGTTTTGTCTTTCACATTTGGGGGCACAATCTAGCTAGCATTACTTCTTTCTGAACGATATGCTGGTGATGCTTTAAATAATACAAAGGTAGGTTCCCAGCTCATCTCCAGCTTGTCCTCTACGATAAACACTATTCTTATGACTTTTTTGAAGTGAATAATGGTTTTTAAAACATTTAAACTGTAATAAAAGGTAAGCATTTTTCATTCTTGTCACCATGGAAGATTTTTTTGAGAAAAGATTCCTGAAAATAATACTTATTTAGTTTTAGAATAGACCATTCTTTAACTACTTTGAACCCCACTTGCTTAGTCTTGGGGGGAAGTGAGCTTTGGTTAAAACAAAAATTTGGAGAATATGTGTGAATCAAATAAACCCATCCAAAAAATTACAAGTGGGTCATTTGTGGTGGCACTTTAATCTGAGCACTCAGGAGCAGAGGCAGGTGGATCTCTGTGAGTCCAAGACCAGCCTGTTCTACACAACGCATTTTAGGCCAGCTATCTACTTATTGAGACTTTCTTATGTACATGTGTCCTGGAATATTTCTTTGGCTAGTGTGCATCACATGTTCGTAGTGTAGTGACAATAGTATCATGCACTGTTGCCACTTTGTCGGAGGTTAATTCGTCATTCTTCCCCTGGCTTTTGCCATGAGTTCTACATTTGGGACACAGTGATCTAGCCCCATTCTTTAGCACCTGTCCCCAATACCACATCGTGAACTTCACCCGCTCAGTTTGCAAATGTTGGTTTCTTGATAACCTGCACCACATCCCGCTGGTGGATTTCCACTTGTCTTTCAAGATCAAGCATATTTTGCTCAAAAGTGTTTTAAAAGGGTGCTCAGTAAGACTAGGTCTAATTATTACCTTAAAAGTAATTGCATCAAAAGTGCATTCCTGGAGTGATTATTGAAGAAGTGGATTTATGAGAAGGGTTGTTGAATTGATAAATGAACCTTTCAACCGAGTTTAGCACTTG